GGTTTCTGCCATTTGGGTTTCTAATTGCTGTTGCTGTTCTTCAAAAACAGTTGTGCCTATTTCCGACCTTCTTTCTAGTAATTCTTGCATATTGGTTTGGAAATTATCCATATCCAGACGAAGACCAGAAATTTCGTGGCTAAGGTTGCGAGTCTGTCTCTCTTCTTCAGTTTCCCGAATGATATAAGGAGCCACAATATTCTCAGTAATAGGTCGACTAATGACTCGTTCAACTACTCTTTCTACGGGATTTTTAAAACCAAATCAACTAGTTACTCCGCTTCAAGCTCAGGATATTCCACTTTGAATTTTATCCCAGTTTTTGTAAGCAAGGTAACCTCCGCCAATTACTGCCGCTATGCCTACTCAGCCTCAAAGGGGCATGGAAGCCACTCCGGTTGACAGACTAGCTCAAAAGCCCTTTCCTGCCATATAGCCTTTAGTTAGTTTGGCCGCAGTAAGCCCGGCCTTTATAGCGTGAGCTGTGCCAGCTTTCTCCATTCCGTAAATGAGGGATTGTTTTCACAAAACCGAATAACCATAATAAGCGATACTGCCGGTCACAGCTAGTCCCACACCCGCTCCGGTCGCAACTTTTCCGGCCGTTTTTCAACCAGTTTGGGGTGGAGTTCTTGGTGGTTCCGGGTTTTGCTGCTGCTGCTGCTGGGTGCTTTCTTGTTCTGGTTCTTGGTGAGGCGAAATAATTTCCTCCTCCTCAACATCTTCGGTTTGATTGTTAGTTAGGGTTTCGTTTTCACTTTCCTCTTCTTCGTTATCAGTTTCAACTGTAACATGAGGATATTTTTGGCTTGGTTGTTCTTCACGAGTTGGCGTTTCGTTAGTTTCCATATAATATATTATAAACCATTTATTTTAGCAATTTTAGAGTAGAAAAAATTAGATGAAATCATTAGTAAATTCGCTTATGAATTCGTATCCAGAAAACGGGGTGGTAAATTTTGCTAGAATTTGGTAAAAAAACGGCGAGCAAGTTGGGATTGGGAAAGAAAAATTACTTAAATTTAAAATAGGCAAGCAACAGAAAAGGTTTTTGCTTTGCTTGTTTTACTCGTTGTGACAATCAACCTTGCTAAATAAACACGTCATGTTAGTTAGTTTAGAAAACTCGTGTTCTTCGTAAATTAAATGATTAGGATCAAAAAATAAGGCTTGGAAAAGATAAAGATTAGTGTGCTTAATTTTTTGCAAAGTTCCATATAAACGTGGTTTTGATCCAAGAGGAATTTGCATAATCTTTTTAGAAAGAAGGTAATCGTCGTTTACTAATTTACTAATTTTTCCTTTGATATGATATCTTTCAACTAAGTGAACGTGATTCATTTCTAATAGTTCTTCCAACTCTTTTCGACAAGCGACTTGGAGGCTTTGAAATAATTCGATAATAAACAATTTACAATTTATTTCTTTCCTGATGGCATTAGTAAATTTCTTTTCTTTATCATGCAAACAGTGAGTAATCAGCCCACTAAAATCAAAAACAATTTTCGCCATACTATTTGGTTAAAGCCATAATTTTCTCCGGCTCGATAAAAATAGAAGGTCGTCTTTCGTTATTAGATTTTTCCCGAGTTGATTCTCAACAAACATCTTGAGTTTTAAAAAAGAAATCAATTTCTTTACCCCTTTTTTTATTTTCTTGATAATCTTGATAAACTTTGTTTAAACAAGACTTAATTTTTTCGTTCACTGTGTCTTCTGTCTTGGCAAACAAACTATCCAACTCCTTATACTCCTCATAATGATTCAGCATTTGTCGATAAACAGATTCAAGCATGGGTCCATCTTCTCAGGCTTGGAATTTTTCCTCAAACAAAACTTTCTTTTCTTTTTTTAAAAATTCTAAGTAGGTTAAATAAAGAAAATCTTGAATTAAAGCGTAATCCTCGATACCTTTTTTGTAGAAAAATTTAGCTATCGCGAGAGGATTGAGAAATAAATTTTTTAACTTTGTTGTATTCATAATATAATTGTTTTTACTAATCCCTGCCATTTTCCAAGTTTTGCTTGTTTAAGTCCGTGGTTCAGCATTTTATAGCATTATTCGTCTGTGATTGAATTTTTTACGGAATTTCTGCTTACTTTTGCTGGTCTTGGGTGAAAAATCTGCTTATTCCTTTGCAAGCAAAAATAATGACCAAAATCAAAGAAATTATCTCTCAAGTATTTTCTGGATTGATCTCTTTAACTCCTTCCGCAACAAGTTCTCTTTGCCAAATTTTTTCTTTTAGAAATATTGGAAAATACTCGAAGCAATAGTTCCTCAGAAAATTCTTTTTGGTGGGCTTGTTTAATTTCTTGGAGTTCTTTTTTTAGTTTGGCAATTTCATGTTCTAAATTGGCATTTGGCATATCTTTATTAGTGATAAGTTATCATTGATTTTAGGGGAGCTTTTTGCAAATTTTATAAGATTAGGTTCTCTGAAAGAAAAAAAATGTATAATGTATATAATACGTAATAATTATTATGACCGATTGAGCAGAAATTCACAAGGATTTTGGTGAAAAGAATGAGAAGAATTGAGAAGGTGAAACCTACCAACAGGAATGAGAAGAAGCAGGCATCACTTACCAAGAGGCCCAAGAGTGGATTAAAGCGGGGTTTGAACCAAAAAAATACTGGAAAGTTGAGGGATGAAAAAATCTAAACTTTAACTTGCGAGAAGTAGGTGAGTGGATTAAGTTGGGTTTAAATCATCAAGAGTATGAATTTTCTACTTATTTAAGATGAAAAGGTTATCAACCTAGCCCTAGTTTAAATTTAGATCAGTTAAGAACCGAATTTGCCGCTCCCAAAAATTATTTAGATTGCTTTTATCCTTGCAAAAAAAGAGCAGAGGTGACTAAGTTAGGTATTAGTTATAGGAACTTAACTGGGGAATTAGATTTGAGTGATTTTGTTAACTTAAAGCAGTTAAATTGTAGTTATAACAAATTAAATTCTCTTAATGTTAGTAATTGTCAACAACTAACCGAAATTGATGGTAGTGATAATCTGCTAACTAATATCACTCTTCCCACTAATCCTACTAATTTAAAAATATTAAAGTTGTATAACAACAACTTCCCTCCCCAAGACTTATCTTTTTTAACTCCTTATACTAATTTGGAAGAACTTCGATTAGGAAATTGAGGTCAAGAAAAAATTATTCAAAACATTTACAATCGGTTTGCTGGCTCCTTAAATTATCTAAACGATATGAAAAAGTTAGAAGCACTTGGCATTGGTAACACTGACGTAAATAAAGTGGATTACACTAAATTACCTGGTAGTTTGAGGACCATTTGATGCTCAACGAAAGAAAGACCAAGTTGCAAACTAACTGCTATTGCTCCTTTATTAGAAGGATTTGCTAAATATGGGTGATGTCGTCAATGTCAACAAATTAATACTAGTAGAAACTGGTGTCGACTTTGCACGGAACAAAATATAAAACAATTAAGTAGTCAAGAATTAGTGAAAAATTTTATTAAGCAACAATCCTATGAATATGAACATAGAAAAGTAAAATGAATTCCTTATAACCAATTTACTAATATTGAATA